GTAAAATCTAAAACAAGACACTGAGATTCAAGGAATAAAACACAAGCCAAACTGAAGTCATGATGAAAAGCAAAACCTCAGAATATAAATGTAAAGGAACAAACCAGGAAACACTGTAATAAGTGAAATACAAAACTCAAAACAAATAACTCACAAGGAAGAGTCGGGGACCATGACAGTTTCCTTGTTTGTGTATTAATTTATTCAGTTTATTCTTCAGATGATTTGCTTGTGGAGCTTGATTTTCTGTATCTATATATCTATGTGGAAAAACACTGCGCTTGTAGGTTTTCCCCTTGACTGATGAACTATTAAGATGAGTTCAGGTTTAAAAATAGGTCCAAAAATGAAGGACAACATATGTATATTTAGAATAGCATGGCTTTCTTTCATTAGTTCTGCTCTTTTTTACATATACAGATTTAAATGCCAATATTAAAAATAAAACTGTGGACCTTTTTTTTTTAAATTTATCAGAATTGTTTCCTGTACTTTTTAAAGCTTGCGATCTTCCCTCTGGTCTTTCAGGTCATGGTACCGCACATGGAACCATCCCACATATCACCACTGAAAAACTGTATGACATGAAGTTTTTGAAGGTAGTTTTCTTCTAGAAGGATGCATGGAGTCGCTCATTGTCCCGTAACACACATGGTTACAGCTATAGGTGAAAGCTCACATGGACACATGAGACAAAGAAGCAGGAGCAGCACAAGCAGAGGACTGCGTGCCACCACTCTTCTGTCAACACTCACTTCATTGCTCATGCAAGTCCCAACAGCCTTCAGCTGTTTGATTTGTGTTCAAGTGACTCTTTATTCAGTTGCAAATATGAAGAACACACACACACAAATCACACACACACAAATATCCTAAACAATGGAGGGAAACGTCCTGTCTGAGCCTGTAACTGCCACCACTTAAAATAATTTATATTGCGTATCAACCTGTTTATAATGCCATCTTTCTCCTCTCATCTGTTGTTTTTTTAATGTTTATATTGTATTTAGTGTTGATTTCAGGGTGTTTTTAGGGATTTTACAGGTTTCATGTATGTTTGTTAGTGCTGCAACTTACTACTTTTATTCAACACTGTACTCTCGCTGTACCTGAATAAGATCTGGACATGTCACATGAAACGACTTTATTTCAGTTAAAAAACACGTATTAAAACAAACAGAAATGCCATGCCCTGTGTCAAGCTCATTACAGATGAAAACTTTGAACCATAATTTGAATTTCATTGTGCCATCTGGCTCTTATCAAAGCTCTGAATGGGCTATTTGCACGGTTCGTTAACAAATCACATATGTGTTAGACACTTTTATGGATATTGAGTTTTATGGCAGATGTGGAGGTTTCTTCAAACCGTTTAGATCCTTTGCGGGCAACTCAGTGAATCCTAGCAGTTACATTACCTACATCCTGAAATAATAACTGATGGGGATTTTTTGTGCCATTTAACACTCAAGTTTTCCAGAGAAATAAACAAATCTCCTTTGTACCATAATTCATACGTAAAAGGCTCTTTTATATTTCAAACAGATTAGTTAGAATAACGAGTGTCTGGATCACACTGCTCTCCATTGTGTCCTATAGCTCTTCTCGAGAATGCCTGCTTCTTTTGCATAACTTTGCAGCTTTGACTGTTCTGCCGGTCATTGCAGAGCACAGTGCGGGAGTTTCTCAGCTGCTAAACTCTGTTGGTTTAGGGCTATATTAAAAAGATACTCAGCTAATGGCTGAGAAACACCATCATTGTGTTTTGCCTCCACACTGTGTTTTGTATTCATTGTGGAGGCAACAGCGGGGACTACGTGCCCAATCAGATCTGCTTAGAGCTGGCTGATCTCTGCATTAAGCACATACCCAGTTTTAAATGTCGTCTATGCATAACACATTACTTTAACAGCTGCAGTCTGAATGTTTGAACTTGGTTACGACCTGTAAGTGTTTCATACTGACACTTTCTTGTCACTTTCTGTGTTTAGCTAAGCTGTCATTTCCTGTTATCGTCAAGTTAAAGAAAATAACTCTAACAAATCACATCAAAGTAGCAAAACTGCCTGCAATGCGCCCTCTGACATGAATCGCATCACAGGAAGTACACACAACGCTTATTGCTGGTTTTTGGGGTCTTTGTGGGATTTGTTGACAGTTTGTTGACAGTTGTAAAATATAAAATATCACCAGACCTTTTTTTTTTTGTTTTGTTTTTAGTTTGGAAGTGGAGCACTTAAGCAAGTGTTGACAGAGTTTCTCTTTATTTTGTAGCTCGTAGCTTGCTCTGTCCTCAGTTCACTTGTGTTTGCCTCTCTGCAGTTTCTGTTTTGAGTGTCCATTGTATATTTTTTGTCCGGGGTTAAAGTTTTGCAGTGGGACCAAACTCCAACTTCAGCCATAAAATGAAAACAGCCACTATATTTACTGTATGTTATGTAACGTTACAGCAGAGTCATGTTTTTACTGATGTAACTGAAGCTACCACTGTAAAGGTGAAAATGGAAACAGTGACGTGTGATCCTCTGAGTCTCAGAGAATCGTTTGTATTTACCTCATACTGAATGTTTATTAACATTTATTTACTTTCTTTCAATAAAAAGAGGTTGAACTTCTGTGTTGTTGGGGTATTTTTGTCATGACTGACAGTGTTTCATACCCAGCATTGGCAGTGTGTTCAGGATCGTTGTCATGCTGAAAAATGAAGTTGCTGCCAATCAAATGTTTTCCATATGGTATTACATGGTGGGGGGATCCAAATCTGATTTCATAATCCCATCAATTTTGACAAGATCTCCAATAGCACTGGCAAAGATGTTGCCCAACACTATGGCAGAGCCTCCACCATGTCTCACACTCACTGTGTCTTGACCTCCTCCACACACACTGATGAAGAATTGAACCAAAAGTTTAAAATTTGTAATCATCCTTCCATCAGACAGGTTGCCACTGAGCCCATTTCTGATGAGGCTTCAGTGAAAAGTTGATAGATTAACTGATAAGTGAAAAGTAGACAGTGTCCAAAGAAACACTTTCAAGGATACTTTAAAAATGACATGTCTAGTTTCTTGAACACAAAATATAAAGTGGTGAGGGGTGACTCAAGACTTTCGAACAGTTTATTTTTATAATTAATTACCAAAAAAGAAATTCAAATTTCACATTTTTTGAGATGCACTGAATTTTAATTTATTCTCTCCAAGGCAGGAGGTAAATATGCACTCACACAAAGAAATAAATAACATATTATTAAAATCACCCACATCCACCGCACAGTAATATCTTTAGTTAGACAATATCTCAGTCTAATATCTTATACTCAAGTTTCCCCAAGTCTCAGAGTGTGCATAAACAACTGACGTGTTCAATTCCATGAAATCTTACTGTAACCCACATCTGAACCTCCCAATTAAACACCAAATGCAAACATCCAAAAACCGGAAAATTTCCAGTTTGAGCTCCGGCTTAAATATCGCATAATTTGCACAGATTGTTAAAAATCTCAGATTTGCAGTTTTGCCTCAGGGCATCAGGCATCGTCATCTCAGCTGCAGCTTTTATGTTCCTGTCATTCACCACCCTCATATATCCCCATGAGTAAGGAAATCCTATAAAATCAAATATTTATTTTTAACTGGCAGTGAATGAGGCACATCCATTGTGGTTTAAAAAACACTTCATGGTATTGATTCTTTAACTCTGCAATGTCAGGTTATTCATATTTGATACATGGCTTTTACATCAGTGTGACTTTTTTTCACCTGAAAAGCCTGACGTATACAATCAGACACATGCATACTGTAAGCAATATATTACACAGAAATGCCAGATGTAGCAAAATCATGTGCAAATTTCTTTTTTTATTTGTCAGGAGGCTTAATAAACATTCAAGTTTCAAAAAAGTTTGCATTTCTGGCGGTTTAGCTTTACAGTGTTAAGAAACAATATAAGAAAAAATAATTTTTCTGTTTGCTGTTCAATAATCTACACTAGAAACCGATCGTCTCTTTTAGTTTAAATCTACCACATACAGCAGCAGAACTGACAGCATTTTTATTCAACTTAAAAAAATCTTCCTTCAAAAAGTTAACATGAAAAGCTTCAGGGAAGTAGCTTCGTGACCCCATGCCTCATGCAAGACTGGTAAAACCATCTGATCCAACAGTCTCTAGCTTTAGTTAACTACAAGTAAACTACTGTGTAGTTAATTTCTTGGTAATTTTGTGGAAAAACAATCAATAATTCCCCAGCTTTCATCATAAGTACGTCGTACTATGGGCCGTAGATTGACATGACCTTGCCTAACTTCCAAGAAAATAAAGGAGACACAAATTATACTGTTAGTAATTTAAGTATTGTGCAATTTCATGTTATTTGGGGCAAAAACACAATATTTCACAATAGTTTCCGCTGTATTTTTGTAGCTGGGGTCATATTACTTACTTAGCTACTTAAAATTACATAAAATTGCATTTGTAGGTAAGTCATTTTTAATTTTCTGGAAGCTCTGGAAGGTTAAACCAGCTCATAATATGACCAAAACATTGAAAAGTACAACGTATTTGCAATGTAACATACGGAAATATTGTTTGTTTTTCTGCAAAATTATCAAGAAAAATGTTAAACAGTACTTAAAATTACTTATTCACAACTTAAATTTTATTACAGTGTACTTATGCCTGTAGTATTTAAAATTATTTACAGTATCACTTCTCTCCTTTCACACCACTGATTGTACTGACTACACACGTGGCACGTTACACGAACCCTGTTAGCCACGGCCACTTTATAAAGTGTTAGCCAATTTCCAAATTTGAAATCACAAAACTTTCTTACTTAGTTCCTTACACTTAGTTTTCAGTTACACGGTGACTTTCTACTGCATGTAAAACCCTCTGAAGCAGTTTCTGACTCAGCCAGTGTTCCAGCTTGTTTGCCTAAAATGCCATTGAAAGGGCACAAACACCAAGGAGACAAAAAAAAGACCCAATAAGAAAAAAAACAGTGTAAACCATTTAATGCTAAAAGAACATTAAAAACAAGTAAGAATGAGTGGATTAGTCCTCAAAAAGACATTTGTCTCCTTATAGAAGCATACTGTCGTACAGTTAGAAGGCTTCAATCATCAGCCCAGCAGAAGATTGTCCAAGTTGGAAGTTAAAAAAAAAGAGTTAGTTGGTTGTACGGTGAGGTCAGTTTCATCATTGTTTCCTCCCTTTGTGTGTTTTGGTTTTCACTTTGATTTCAGAGCTCATTGAACCTGCAATAAAAAGTCACAGTTAGTTTAGAGGATGACAAAATTCCTGCAGGTAGAGGCTGATCAGAAAAACCAATACTATAATCATATGCTAGACTGTTAGCTTAGCAGCAAACAACAGAGATGCACTGATTTCAGATTATTTCATTTCATTCTGTGAGTATATTCTGAAGAATAAATGACTCATGTTTATAATAAAACACCTAATCTGGATTACTGTGCAGATGTGTTCAGGTTTACAGAGGAAAACAAATTACTTCAGGGTTGGATTAAACTAGCACAATATAACTAATTCCTGTGCTTTACTTTTTCTCAAAAGTGTATTTTGTTGCCTCTGGGAAGAGCCAGGCTAGTGGCTTCCACCTGCTTCCAGTTATTATATTAACGATCCTAATACATTTCCCCAGCTCCCTTTTTAATGCACAGGCATCCTTCTTTTCATGCAACCTCTAGAGAAACTGAGGCTTTTTTGTAAAAAGCCTTCCTATTGTGTTCCATTTTTACCGGCTGTGTTAAACATATTTAAACATCAGTCTTTTCTGTATTGGCTTACTTAATCTCTAGGGTTCCCCGAAATGAATGTAAACAAAGAAGGTAAAGGTCGAAAAAAGAGACAGTGGCGTTGACGATGATACTCACCCTCTGGCTCTGGGTCCACACCCACACCATCTCTGAGCTTCCTTGTAAACAAGCCTGGACAAAAACTGGAGCCAAACAAAAGAAGTGTCAGTTGGGGGTTTGAGTGGTTCTCATAAGTTCTCTGGCATACTCACAAACCACAATATTTAAAAATCATTAGGAATAAAAAAGGCTCCATGTGGAGCTTAGTGAAATAAAGGTCCACAGGACAGCATTGGCAAACTATTGTTTGCTCCTTTTCTCAACATAAATCAAGTGAATTGAGGTTAGCTTCGCGGCGGCAACGTCTCGACTTAGGCACCGATATTCTGCATTGCACCAGTAACATACCAGTAATGTTACACAAAGACTCGTCATGTAACTTACATTGCCAATAATGGACTATTATGACATGAGACTGGTACCATGTTTGTGGTAAATATAACCGACTCGGCAGAATTGTATGTTCAGATGTTTCACAGACTCAGCTGGCTCCTTTATTCAAGACGCCAGCTTCACCGGTGCCAATTTATTTTTAAAGTAAACTATATAGATATACTATATAAGAAGTTCTGAGCAGTTTTTCCTTTAATGTCCATTTTGTACCAAAGAAAGCTGTTAAAAAAACCTTCCAACTGCAATAAGTTACCTTTTCATTTTTTTGCCTATTCAGACATGCTTTGTTTTGCTACCTCACACCAGTCTGCTTATGTTTTCAATGTGAACACTGTTGATTCATCCTGCCCACTGCACGTTATTTCTTTGTTAAATGAATGAATTACTAAATTCGTTTGTAAGGTTGTAATTTTGTTTGTTTGGTAACTTTAGCTGTCAATTTTGTTGTCTTTGTTGTGTTACACTCACCCACTTTATTAGGCACACCTTGGTAACAACCACGTTTATGTTTGTGATGCTCGAGTTGCTGCTGTGTGATTGGCTCATTAGATATTTGCCTTAATAAGCAGCTGAACAGGTGTACCTAACAAAGTGGCCAGTGAGTGTACAATGTTTAATATCGTTTTCTCGTATACATTTGTATCAGCATAAAACCGCTGAGAATGTTTGGAGCCATTCTCAGCGGTTTTATGCTGACACAATAATAAATTTAGGATGAACCACCACAACAATCCTGTAAATTAACTGGTTGGCATTTGCATTAAAAAGGAACAAGTTTATTCTATGTGAGTGAACAGATAAAGATTGCTCTCTGACCAGGCAGGCTAAAACGTCAGCAGAGATGAGCATGTAGAAGACATTGTTCCAGCCAGTTGGTGAGATCACACCGGCCAGCAGAGGACCCAGTGCAGCTCCTGCAGAGAGCATAAAAATAAGTCATTAAGTGTAAACGCATAAAGTCGTCAAGAATTATTCAGACTTAAATGAAAAAGTCAGGAGGGAAAACACAAAATGGAAAAATAGCCATTTCCTTTTAAATCACACATTAAGTACTCAATTTTTCTAGTCTCTCAGGACTTCATCAGTTTCCATCTTCTTTTTTACAGTTACACAAACTGCTGTCCTGAGTACAAAAGACAAAATAACTGTTTATGTTCTGTGTACGCTTTTAATTTTAATTTAAACCATGAGACAAATGTGGACAGAAATGCAAGGATGCATTAATTATATTAGAACTAATAGTCTCCGTGTTTTATAAAGAGTATGATATGAATACTAGTACATGACCACGCTACAGGACTGTTTAGTCTTTTGTTATGTGGTTGCTAGGCAACATGATGACGCATCAAGCCTAATTAAAGTTTTATGGATATACATTATAGATGTCATTTTTGTGAAATTACAGATCATACAGTGCTTTTATATGGTGCCATTGGTAAACTTGGAGTAAAGTCCAATGTCTGCCTCATTGGCAAGTGGTTGCTGGGCAACCTGATGACATCATAATAACATCGGATATAGAAAAAAACCTTGAGGGGAATAAGATGTACCTGCGTGTCGGGTTTCGTTTCTCATCTCCTGTTCACACAGGAGGAGTTCATGGGCAAACAAACTAACAGTAAGATGTAAGCTCTATTTTTAGTGTCCACCAACTCCTGAGGGCAATACAAACACTTTTAAAGGCTAAATGGTTCCACCATGATCAACAGATGGGTGCTAACTTTACCTGTCTGCAGTTTGGTGCTGAACAGGTGACATCTGGAGGATTTTGGGCTTTTTTTGAGACAAAAGAGGCTTAAAATCCTCTGCTGACTTAACCAACTCGTTTGTTCCTTAGTTATTATGATAATTACAGATGAAAGAGTTAAGCTCAAGATTTTTTAACGTTTAGTAATGATATGCATACCTATTGATCCTGTCCCATCAATAATTGCAGTCACTGTCGACAGCGCCCTGGCGTTTCCTTTCAGACTCTCGTGTGTCCCCTGTGGCAACGGAAGCATCATTATGCCAATGGCGGAGACATTTTTAAGTAAAGCAAAGGATTTCCTATGATGCCTTAGACCTTACCAGGTCAGCAGATACAGCAGTTGTGATAAGAGCATAAGGTCCATTCACCAGGGCTCCACACAATAACAGCATACCTACACAGAAAGAAAAAGTATAAGTGAGACCTGAAGCCAAAACAACCCTATCTAATCTATTTTCAGTTCGAGCTAAGTTCAGGTCAATGTAAGCAAAGAATCTGTGAGTTATCTATGCTCAAATAATGAATTAATAACTCTGAAATCTTTCTTTCTACTGAAAACATGATCAATAAATCAATGAAATCTTGCATCTTGTGATCAATTTCCAGACGTCTTGATTATCAAAAGTGCTTTACTGTGCAATACTTCCTGTCTCCTCTTTCCGTCATATTCTTGAATTTTTTTACTTTGATTTTGGCAAAGTGACCAGTTTACAATCATGACCATACGCTACATACACTCCATAATATTGTGTCATAAACTCTTAAACATTATACAAGAATGTAATTTGAGTAAACATTTGTTTTTAAACAAGATGTTTTTAATGTGATTAGTATCAAAGTTAAAAATGACAAAATAAAGAAGTCTTACCGATTGTAGTACCGAGGCTCCTCTGCCCAATGTTATTATAGAGGAAAAGCTGAGAATAGAGCAAAACAAATAATCAGCCAATCAACTAATTGTGGAAAATCTGCACATGGGTGACAATTATTACAGCCAGAAACCTCTCTCACATCAGTGTGAAATATCATCCTGTCAAAAACATTAAATACACTTTGACTGAGAGAAGCTTCCTGAACTCGGATGA